TGATGTCCAACCTCGCAAATGAGAGATGCAAAGATAATTCCATCTCCCACAGCAGGACAGGAGAACTTCAAGCTGAACTGAGGATGAGCAAACTACTAGAAAAAAGGCTGATTATTTTATCTGCTGAGCGAAATTGCCTCATTCAGAAAACACTTCTCGCTGTTCCACATCTTAAAGGCACTTGGGAAGTGTCACAGTGACACAGCAGAGGAGCAGCAGAAATGAGCAGGCCAAGCAAAGTCAGACTTACATCACTTATAATGCCAGTTCTCAGCACACAGCCATTGATTTTCCAGGCAGGGATGAGTAATTTAACAATAGGTATCATTTTGAATGTACTGTCCTTTGTTTGAGATCATTTTCAGCAGGTTTGGGACTACCCAGATGCGGCATTTAAATCTTAAACCCACTTCTGGCGAGTGGGCAGGAAGGCACCTTGCAGGACAACCAAACTTCAGCATTCTATTGACAGTTTGATTTGATAGCTGATAGCATTTGATAAGTGATTTCTGAGATCCCAGCTGGAGCACTGCCTCTTCACAACTGAATTTGCTGTTAAAAAAAACTCATTTTGAATTCAGCTGGAAAGCAAAACCAATTGCATTTTTAGGAGCAAACAGGAAACTTGAATGTAGTAGAAATAAACAGTAGAAGCTGTTCAGGCTTAAGGTCAACACCTATTAACAATCAGAAAGGCAAAGCAAATTCCTGAGAAACGAAACCTCTAGTAACTGTCCAGTGCTAAACCAATTATGAAATTAGGACAACTCGACAAGAAAACCCCTTTGCAGCTATAAAGCAGTCTGAAATTTTTAAATCTTAACATTTTGCTGTTGGATTTTCCTTTTGTGAAGAAATTTCACAGAATTGCAAAGTAAATGAGAAAAAAGACAGCAGGACTTTTTTTTTTGGGGGGGGGGGGGGTAGAAATACAAAAGAAAGGGTTTTTCCCCCTAAAGCAGGAATTATCACTGAGTGGAAATGAGCACAGTTTACAGTTTATGATGCACCAGTATTTCAGCTTCTCAATCAAAATGCTGCTGTTGGGAGCTGTGCCTTCCTTCCCCTCATTTTAAATCCCTTTGTCTCTGGAGCAGGAATTATTTCTTTTCTCTCTTCCAGGTGGAAAGGAGGCCAGGAGCAAAAAAATTAATCTATTCAAGAGTAGCAGAATTTGTCAAAGCTTGATCTATGGCTCACTCTGCCTCGAAAAAAACATCATCTCATAGAAATCTGATGGTTTTTTTTTTCATTACTGAGGCAGCTCTCTGTTTAATAACAGCATTCCAACATGTTATTGATCTGTGTATTGGAACAATTCTTACCATTCAGGTTGTCACAGGGATATAATACACATTTACCAACATTTTCTACAAGGTCAAGGCCATGCACATGGAATGGATAAGGAAATTAAACAAAAGGCAATACAAACTATATTTAGCAAGCGAATATATTCATTTAAATCATAACTCATTTGGGTTGTGCTTATTATATTCCATTTGATTTTTTTATTCTATGAATCTGAACTTGAATTCAGACGTAGAATATTAAGACCAAAATAAATCTGAAATATCTTATTGACTTCAGTCTGACCCCTCTGGAAACACCAATGCAAGTGAGAAGAGAATTTGCCCGGCTGAAGATAATTCTGTGCTCAGTTTTTACGTGAAAGATTTAAGACTTTGAACAAACTGACACTAAATACGAGGAGAGCTCTGGGAACCAAAACTCTTCCGTGAGGGACAGATGCTCCCATTATCTCTGCAGGGAGAAAAGAAGCCCAGAACAGTTTGGGTTGGAAAGGACCTTAAGGATCATCCAGTTCCACCTCCTACCACAGGCAGGGACACCTTCTACTGTCCCAGGTTGCTCCAACCTGGCCTTGGACACTCCCAGGGATCCAGGGGCAGCCACAGCTGCTCTGGGCACCCTGTGCCAGGGCCTGCCCACCCTCCCAGCCAGGAATTCCTTCCCAATATCCCATCTAAACCTCCTCTCCTTCAGCTTAAAGCCATTCCCCCTTGTCCCATCACTCCATGCCCTCTGGAGCACCTTCTGCCTCCTCTCCAGTGAGGTTTTGTGTCCCTGGGCTGCACCATTTGTTGTGACCTCACTCCCTCTTCCTTTCTGATCTTTACAGTGGGTAAATCTAATCTGGAATTATTGACAGGGGAGCTGAAAAGTGAGGTGGTTCAGAGCCATCTTCCACCCAGCCCACCCTTTCATGGGTGCATGAATATGGAGTCATTTTTATAGGAGAAAATCCTCCGAGCTTCCCAGATCAGCCTGGCAGACGTTTCCTGTTCTTGTAAACAATTTTGGAGCTGTAAATGCCTCTGCTGTGAATCGATGCCTCTCAGGTACAAAAAGATATATTGTCACAGGATAATATCTCTCCCTCCCTTTTTTTTTTTTTTTTTTTCCTGCTTTTTTCAATACTGTCAAAACAAATGCTTTGCTTGAAAATAATTCCTGCAATATTCTGGAGTCCCACTCGTTCCACAAATACGAGCAAGGCAAAATTAAAGGGATTTGTCATCGCGGAGTCAAACCCGGGAACTGAACGTGAGCCACGGCCCGTCCCAGCGCTTTGTGTGAGGGGAATCAGCTCCTCACAGGAGAAAAATTGCCCATTTGGGATGCTCCAGGTGACACATCAGACAGAAACATTCAGACAATGCAAGAGCAGGATCCCTGCTATGCTTGAAAACAGCTTTTGGTGCTTGTAGAAGTTGAGAGGAATCAATCCCCAAAAGCTTTGTGGCATGACTGTGTTTCCTGGAATGATTCCAGCTCCCTCCCACCCCACCAATTTCCCAGCCAGTTCCATGCTTGTTGTCCCTCTGACACGGCTCTTCCATGGGCATTTATAGGACCTGCTTATTCCACTGCCTCTTTCCCTTTGTTTATGTTTAATGCAGAATTATCAGGTGGCCCTGGGCTGTAACTCCTTCAAAGACAGACCAGATTGTTTCAAAATCAAAGAGCAATCTAAGAGTTTGGTCTGGTGCATTAAATGAGAGTTCTGGAAGGTCGTTCACGATTAACAAATTCATTGGAAAAATGAAAAAAAAAAAAAAGCCAAAGAAAAGGGATGAATTAGTCTCAGAGTTCAGAAGGTGTGATTGCCAGGAACAGAAGCAAAAACCATAAGTAGGTGGAAAAATAGAGGCCTACCCAAGAAATTATCTTGCTGTGAGAAGTCTCAGACATTAAAATGTTTTAAAATAGTCCTGCAGTGCCAAAGCAACTCAAGAAAATGTTTAAGCAAATTTGTTTAGGCAGGGTCATTTTTAAAAATGGTATTAAAATACAAATCATGGCCCAAAAGAACGTCTGCAATTTCAGCAGATGATTACTAACTGCACTAATTAAGGAGCTTTAATTGACTCCATCGAAGTCAAGAGACAATTCATGTGTACACTGCTGCAAGACTCAGTAATCATCATTCCTGCAAAGTAACTTTGAAATGAGTTACCCTGCAGCTTTGATCACCCAGAGAGCCGCTCTCAGTCCATGATTTGCAGATCCCAGGGGGGCATGGATTACTTTGGAGGCACTGAAGGTAACCAGGAAAAGCCTGTTTACTGTCAACACACCTTCCCTGGAATCTTTCAAGGCTCCCAAAATTAAGAAAGATACGAGAAAGGGGACAGAGGGAATACATTTTTCCTGCTTTATTGCTTTATTAAGCTTCCTAAACTTCTGAGCACTTCCAAAATATCAAATGATACCTCCTTGCTTTCCCCTGAAGAATTCCTGTTTTCCTGCCCTTCTTAATTACAGAGGCAGAACATTAAAAATCCATTTAAATGCACAAACCCCAAACATTTTAACACTTGCAACCATTGCTTCTAAAAAACAGGTTTTACACCTTATAACTTGAGCTAAGCTTGTTATTGAAAGTGGGAAACTGAGAATCACAGAAGAGTTTGGGTTGGAAGGGACCTCAAAAGGAGTCTCATTTTATGTTGTCTCATGACCTACTGAAAGGGGTTGGAACTGGATGATCTTTAAGGTCCCTCCCAACTCAAATCATTCTGGGATTCCATGATTTATCCCTATAATGCTTTTGTTTAAACTGAAGCCCAACAAGAACAGTCAGTCCCTCAACTTCCCATGAAATCCCTTTGTGGATTTGCAGCCTGTTGCTTTATTGCCATTCCTTTCCTCCAACCCAAACACCCTGAGCTTTCCTGACCTCCAACACCACAAACCTGGCACCCTTTGATTTCCACTCCCCACCTGTCTTATTTATCTTCCATTCTATAAATTCCACCCTCCAAAGCTTAAGGTGGCTTTTTTAAATGTGACCTTCCCAGTTCAAAATTGAAGGGGCTGTATTTTTTTTTTTTTTCCATTTATTTCCAGCCAGGGTTTTAGAGGGGACCAAAAGCTCAAAAAAACCACAGTTAGAAATTTTCTCTCCCAGAAACCCCCTTGGGTCTCACCTGGTTCTATGGATTCCTGCAGGTCCTTGGGGGAGCCAGAGTTGAACAGGAACCATCAACTCCAGACAAGTCCCCTCAGGGCTTCCCCAAGTGTTGGGGAGGGGAGGAGGATTCAGGTGATGGCATTTAAATAATCTAATTTAAATAATTTAAATCTCTTGCCAGATCAATTCTCCTTGAGCAGCCTTTAACACAGGTTCAGCTGTGACAAGGAAAGACAACGTTATGCTCAAGTCCCTAAAATGCAGTCTCATGTCAAATAAAACCCAAACCGTGGTGTATATAAAAAACACCTTGTAAAGGAGTGATTTTACACAGTGTGGGAGCACTTTATGCTTATGAATCTGATCACAAACAAGGCCCCTGAATTTCTTTGTGCTGTGGTTTGTACCTGTCCCTGTCCTGGCTGCAAAGCAGAGGTTTACACCACCTCAATGCCTCATTCTGCAGTGTGTCCTCTCCCACTCCTCTGAGCGCGCAAATAGACCTCAAACCTGCATCAAACACGCTTCAAAGATTCGGCACGTCATTTCAGAAACCCCACCTTGTGGCAGGCACTGGGAATCAACCTCCTGGAGATCAGCAACGCTTCGGAGCTATTTCTGGAGGAGGGAAAAAAAAAAAAAAAAAAAGATTGGAAAAGTTGCCAAAGTTTTAGAGCTCTAATGAGAACTGTCACTGAAAATTTATTTTATTTGGGGTTTGAGGTTTTTTGTTTGTTTGTTTGTTTGTGATTTTCAAACATTTGTTCACTTGGTTGTTTATTTAAGGAAATAATTAAATTTGAGCGTAAGGTGCCTTTGCATGGCGGGGTGGGAGCTGGACTGAGGATGGTTTTGGCACTTTGGAGGCCGTGACAAACCCAAAAGTCTTGGGCTGCTGCAGCATTTGGAAGGTGCCAGCAGAGGCTGTGCAAGGCTCCAGGACCTGCTGGGCTCTGGCAGAGCTCAGGAATGTGGGATAACGTACCTGGGAAGGCAAAGGTGTTGCAGAAGCAGCAAAGAAGCAACATCTGTGGTAGCTCCCTCTGCCTGGAAAATTAAGCTGTTTTGTGCCCCATAACTCACTTTCCAGCTCTTTCTGCAAGGTGTTATTGGAGAAATATTAAAACTGCCTCGTGCTTGGGGAAAAAAAAAAAAAAAGAAGAATTTATTTAAAATCAGAAATAGCTGTCAGAAGTTTCTTCCCTTCATCCCCAGAGCCTCAGGCTGGGGGTTCAGCAGCACATCCAACGCCACTGCCCAAACACTTGCTCATAGCCAGCAGTAAAGATTTGCAGAGCTCCAAAATAAATCGACATTTAACTTCCCCAATCAAACTCCAAGACCATTGGAGCTGAGAATTGTACACTGCTCCTTCACCAGATGACTTCAGGAGGGTCCCACTCATGCAGGACCACGACTCACATCAGTAAATTGGGCTGCTCTCACGGCCCCGTGGAGGCTCCCACACTGCTCCAGTCGATGGGAAAGATTTCCTCTAATAGCTTTGGGAAGGGGCTGGAGCACAGATCCAGCTGCCAGCTCGGAGGAGTCACAGCAGCACAACCTTCTGAGCACCTGGGAAGTCAGAAAACAACGCAGAGTGCATGGATTTCCTTCACTGAGGAAAAGGGGCACAGAAATATTAATTCAGTGGCGTAAAAACACTGATGTATTTCTATTTTCAGCTGGTTCATCCATATGTCCACACTGTGAACAACCACTCCTTGATTTCTGCACCAGAGTTACTCCTCTGCCTCTTGAGCAACCAGAGGACAAAGGGATTATGCCTTTGAAAGGCACAGTAATTCTGGCTCACTGCTCTGTGCTGGTTCTCAGCTGGATGTCACTTCGCATCACCAACCTCTGCCTAAAGTGCAACACAAGCCCCACAGACCAATTTCTGTCCTTTTTTAATACTCCTGCCTACGCTGACACTGTATAAATGAGTACAGATGTTGTCTTAATGTATTTAAGGAGACATAAATCTGAAAAAAAAAAATCATCTTTCTTCTTCGTTAGCGATCAAATCCCATTCTGAGCTAAAACAAACATTCAGGGAAAATACTTAAAGACTGGAGGATGAGCTAAGAATGTAAAATTTGGCTGAGTAATGAGTAACCAGGGGCCTGAACTACATATAAATACTTGAGGAATGAGCTGAAGTAGGAAAGAAATTATGTAGGGAGATGTAAGGGGTCTTCTTGACCACGAGATAGTAGATTGTGGAATAAGATCATGATATCAGATTGTCTCTCATGGGAAGAAAGATAAACACTATAATGCAGATAACTTAAGATATGAGTATAAGGTGATTTTTCATCTCCTTAGGTGGGTTCTGTACCTTTACAAAGGGCAGATTTGTAGTGCTTGCCCCAGGGTTAAGGTTCTCACCTAACTGCAAAAATTGACGTGCTGGATCTTTTTGACCTTTTAGATTTGTCTGCAAGTCCACATTATTACACCTATACTAAAAAAATAGATGATAATCTGCATTTAAAGATGTAATTTGTATATATTCATGTAAGGAAAGACTGCACATGACACTCAGTGCCATGGTCTGGTTGATGTGATGGGGTTTGGGCACAGGCTGGACTCCAGCTCAGAGGTCTTTTCCAACCTTACTGTGTCATATATAAATATAAATATAAATATAAATATAAATATAAATATAAATATAAATATAAATATAAATATAAATATAAATATAAATATAAATATAAATATAAATACACAACCTGTGGTGTGCAGAGAAGGGGGTTCTCAAGCCAAGCTTATTGAGATTCAAAGTACAACAGACCTTTTTCTCGTCAGATGAATATTTCGAGTCAAATTTGCATTTCATAGCCAGGGGCATCATTTGCAGGTGACTGAACAATCAATTAAAACAGCTCAGGTGGGTTTTTCTGTAAGGGTTGGTTTTTTTTCACATAACCAGGTCACTGCTGCTTATTCACATGGTTTGGGGCATTTTAGACATTCATAACATCAAGTTTTCCTCAAGATTTCTGGTGCTGTCTCAGGGAGTTACATTTTATTTTGCCCAATCTGATGGAGGTCCAAACATGCACCTTCCAACACCCTCTGCCTTAGCAGAGTTATAGATCTGTGCTGCTGTGACCATTTTTCTATCTTATTAATTAAAATTTAGCAATCGAAGCACAGACCACGAAGGCATCACAAAATGTGTCCATGGTGACTCCATGGCCTGGAGCCTTTGGACTTTTTTTCACCAGCCTCACATTCCAGCTCCGCTGCTCAGTGGGAGCCTGTTAAACAGGTCATGAACTCCACAGCCACGGCTACCACAGCTCTCATTTCCATTAGTGATTAATAACTGCTTTATTCTTGGGATAGATATTTTTAGTTTTCTGAACAAATGCTCTTCTGCATAACAGGGTTCAACACTTTTATGATTGAGCTGCCTCCTATTTTTTATGCTTAGATACTCCATCATGGAAAAGCAGTTTTGTCACTAAAGCTGAGTCAATCATCCTAAAAAATACATGGTTAGTGTTTGGGTTTATTTCTTTTTTCAGAAGCTGTTCATCAAACACTTGTGAATAATGAATGCAGAACTTCTCATCAGACATGATATGTAAATTCAGGGCTCGATCCATCCAATAATTTATTTATCAGGAACAGTTTGAGCAGTGCATCAAAACCCTGCAAATTAGTTCTCTATCAGCAGCCAATTGAACTTTCTAACTCTGTGTGGAAGTGTTTGCAAACCAGGGGCACAAACTGTTGTGGGTGAGAGGAGCTTTAGACAAAGTTTATTAGAGAAAGGACCCCCTTGCCTCCTAAACTCCTCCTCAGACAGGAGCCTGGGTCCAATCTTAGCCTCAGATTTAGGCAACAGTTTAAGTACAACTTTGTCCCACAGGGTTAAAGATGGCAAGCTGGGTATATTAATGCAAATGAATTATTTATCATGACAAATGATCAGACAAAAGGTCTTAATCAGAATTATTTACCACAGAGTATAAAAGCTAAAACCCCTGGTAGTATAATATAAAATAGGGTAGCACACTATATCAAAGCAATTATGTCAAAGCAATTATATCAAAGCAATTATATTAAAGCTGGCAACAAGAAATAATCATTAATTAGAGGCTGATGTAACTCACCAAATAAAAGCCTGTGGGCAGATTTCTCTCTCTGAACCTCGAGGAATGTCCCCATCACACGGGAGAAACTCCACACGCTCCAAGAAGGGTTAAGTTGGGAGAATCTGATGGTGTGGAACTGGCCTTGGCTTTTAGAGTATAAAAGGGTTGGTTTAGTCAAGTCCCCAGGTCAGTTTAGCAGCTGATCTGCCAAATCTTTGCCTCACTATCAGGATATTAATTTGGGGTTGATGAGCCGGACTGGTTTTAGCAGAATTCAACACCAAAACCTTGCAAAACAGGGCCTTGTTTGAGCTGTTTGACCCCAATCCAAGAGCAAAATGTCCTGTTACACACACACAGAGCCCAGGAAAAGCCAAGGCTTCCCATCCCAACCTCCCTCACATTTCCATCCAAAAACTCTCCAAACCCAACAACCTTCCACCTGGTGGATGGAAAATCTTTGCAAACCCTTCCAGTTCAGTTCAATATTCCAATGGCTTCCTTGATTCAAGATACAACCTCTCAGATTTATTCAAGCACCACCCCCAGTTTTGCTGTGGTGTGGCCAAGGTTCACTTCTCATTTTCATTCTAAACACTTGCAGTGGCTTGGAATAATTTGTTGTAGAGCACACCAAGGGTCTGCTCAGATGCCTTGGATTTTTCCTCCCTGCAACTGATTTCAATCTTGGAGGACGTTTTGTAGAGAGGCCAAAAAAAATAAAACTGCATCTCTTTAAATATATATATATATAAAAATATATTTTCCCTCCAGTAGTTACAGTTTAGAAGGAAAACAAAAAGCTTTTAGATATAAATTATTATTCAGTTCTCACGAAAGCAATGGGAAAACAACACAGGGTATGGAAGTTTCATCAGCAAAATAACTCAGGTTATGGATGGGGTGATAATAAAGTATCTTATGAAGGGTAAAACTATTAAATCAGTATATTAATATAACTTTTCTAGGGATTTCAGGGTGTGCAATCTGCTTTCTAAATGAGAGCAACCAATGTCAAACAAGATTTATTTCACAGATGATTAAAAGATCAAGAAATTCAGGCTCAAAATACTATAATTTAGGTATTTTATGTGCAAACCTTCCCTTACTTAATCCCTTTGAAGTCCATTGAGCTGCCTGTGTATTTATTTACTTCCCATGAAAGAAGGATTTCTTTCTTATTTAAGGAGTGGTCAGAAATAGGGAGGGAGTGAAAGTTTCACATGTTTGGGTTTTCTCTCTGAAGAGCTGGAGTTTTTCCAGCTGATTCCAGGAAAAAATTGTCAGCCTTCAGAATTTTGCAATGCAGACGCTCTGCTTTATTGATCTCAATTTAATAATGAATATTGTCCTCGCATTTACAAACCAGAAGCATTTAAAGCCCCATGATTGAGTCACGTCACGTGTTGCTCTAGTAAAGCAATCAAGTGAATCACTGGTCACTCAAATATGCAGTGACATGTCTAAAACTATTCCCTTCACAGCTCATGAGGGAGAAAAAAAAAAGAGAAAAAAAGAAAGAGCTGGAATTGAGAACATTTTTGCAAATCAAACATCTCAGTTAAAAATGTCAGTCCGTATCAACTGAAATATTTTAGCCTGGATCTGACAAGTTTAAGTAAGATTTGTATGTCTGTTGGGTCAGGTTTGAAACCAAAATTAATTCTGGGCCAGAAAAAAAATCAGATTGCTGTCCTTTACAGAATGTCAGAGTATCACCCTTTTGCAACTCTGCTGCCAGAAAAAAATAAAGGAGAGAAGGTAAAGAAATGGAAATTGCCAAAGCAGAGGCTTTTGTGCAAAGAGCCCAGAGATTTTTTATTTGTTTTTATATGACAGAACAAGGGGGAATGGCTTCAAAATGACAGAGTGAAGGGTTAGATGGGATATTAGGAAGGAATTGTTGGCTGGGAGGGTGGGCAGGCCCTGGCACAGGGTGCCCAGAGAAGCTGTGGCTGCCCCATCCCTGGAAGTGTCCAAGGCCAGGTTGGAGCACCCTGGGCTGGTGGAAGGTGTCCCAGCCCATGGCAGGGGTGGGACTGGATGGGCTTTGAGGTCCCTTCCAACCCAAACCACTCCATGATTCTGTGATTTGAATTTTCAAACGAGAAGAGGAGATATTTGATGCGTTCCACCAACACTGTGTTACTTATAAAGATTCCAAGTGCTGCTGGTCCCCTCAGCCCTGGGTGCTGGGGAGTCATTCTCAGCTCAAAGCAAGTGTCACCTCTCCACATTCCCTGCCCTGTGTTCAAAGCACAGCGTGGAGCTGCACAAAGGGAAGGCTGACAGTGCTGGGAGCTCTGAGAGGCAACATTTGCACAGCCTCTCTTTGTGTGGAGGAAGGAAGGAGGAAATCTTCCCAGGTGAAGTTGCTATAATTAATTTCCTGTGTGTGCACTTTGCTCACACAGTCAATTTGTCATTGTAGGGTATAATTTACTCCTCTCTCCACAGACTTCTGAGGAGCAAAGCAAAAGACTTCAGGTATTGCAAAGCAGAAGACTTCAGGTATTGCAAAGTGTGCAATACTGATGATCAGGCAGAAAAATCAGTGCTCCTGCAAACCCTCCCATCGCTTTGAATCCTTTCTTCCAGCTGGGCTTTAAAAGAACTTTCCATCAAAGCCAGGAGAAAACTATATACAATTTTAAACCTTTGGCTGACCTCTTGCTTCCAAAGGGTTGTGGCTTAAACCTCTGGGTCCTTCCAGCTTCCTTTGTTCCTGTTAGAACTTCCCCGTCCGCGTCCTCCGTCCCCCCGCACGGCTCAGCTCGGGCTCTCGCTCGGCTCCCTCCTGCTCTGCTGGGAGCCCACACAGATGAGAGGCTCTATGACCTTCCCTTCAAACACAAAACACAAAAGGGAAAGGATGAAACCAACAGGAGCAAGAGAAAGAGTTGTAGCAGGCACTGCAAACCTGCCAGGGCAGAGCGTCGGTGGGAACTGTGAGTCACAGCAAAACCCACTGCACAGAGAGCATTTTAACCCTCTCCCTGCAGCACCAGCAGAGGAGATTCTGTCCTTGCCGTGGCTTAGAATAGATTTCTTATCCTCAGGTGGGTTTAAAGCCCAGGCAAAACTGTTCTGGAACAAAGAGAAAATCAGCCAAAATCCCAAGTCGCTGCACAAAGTTTGGTTCAATAAATAAGGAGTGAACTGACCTTGAAAGTTGGAGAATCAGGGAAGATTGTGAAAAGTACTGCTAGAGACATCAGTAGGAGTATTTTCATATCTATTCAGCTTTATTGCAAGAACCAGATGACAAATTTTTGAGCTGCTCTTTAAAAGACAGGCTTTGGAAACAAGACAAAATATACACCGACTACATATTACACAATACAGAACAATATCCTACAAAATACCAACCACAATATTAAAACTTAGGCCATTTTTAATAGAGAAGCATCTCAGAAGACACAGGAGGAAAAAAAAAACCCAACAAGATGTTATGAATAAAACTCTTAATAATATTTAACCATAATAAGGGAGTAGAAGGGAAAGATGGAGATCGAGGGAGTCGTCGTGGGGATGGGGACGTTGCAGCCTCTCCTAAAAGTGAACCCAGTTTTAAGAGCACAGGCTTCTGGAGATGTTTAGAGATCACATCTTGCATCTCAATGCTTGATAATGTTCAAATAGGAGCATAATAACCCAGCTCACAATGCTGTTCTCCCTGCTGCTGACTGTCTTTTCGTTTTACAGCCCCAGCTAAGCACCGCTTCTTGGATCCGAACAACTCGCTGTTCTCTCTGCAGAGATTCTTTTCACAGCAATAATCCAACTTTTTCATTTGCAACAGCAGCCCACTGCTGATTAGGGAATATAACCCAAAAAAAAAAAAAAATCAGGATGTGTGGAGTTGCATTTTAGCTTTCAATTTATTTGTTTGCTTTTAATTTCTCAGAAATTCATCAGGAGAGAGGATGGCTGAGGGAGAGTGTGTTTTGCAGTCACGTAGCAGTTCTGAACGGGGTGACTTTGAGTTCTGCAATTTTCTCCCCATCCTTTGAATCATCACAGACATATTTTGACTTCCAGAGTCACTCAGCCTTATTTTTACCTCAGGTGACTCAAACTGGAGACACTACATGGCACTGCTTCAGTTGAATGTTGCCAGAAGAGCAAACATTGGCATCGTGAGGAACCCCAAAAAGGGTCAAGGGTCCTTTTATATCAACAGGAATCTTAATTATTAGGACTTAACACTAAATCTTCTCCTTTTAGTGCTTTTATTGAAAACTCAGGGGACCATTCAGAGAGAAAACAAGCTTAAGATCAATCCAAGTAAATTTACCAGACCCAAAAGTCAATGAGGTTCAACATTTACTTAAAGTTTTCCAACCTCCTTGAGTGGTGACCTTCCTAATTACACCATCTGCTCCTGGAATCTTCTGCAGTTCTGGAGATCAGGGAATGGGAGCTCAAGGTAGGAATTTCCTAAGGGTTACATTCCTGGGGGAAGCAGAGCTAGGGAAGCATGACCAGTAATTTCCCAGGCTGGAAATCTCTGGAGTTCTCAGCAAAGAGAGTGAGGGAAGGTTTCTGATGTGGTGGGAATGGATGATGAGAAAACTCACTTGAAATGGATGCTAAAACAGAGCTTGGCTGGCACTCAAATTTCAAATAGAGCATAAAAAGCTGTTACTTTATTATTTCACGAGGAACTAAAGGAAAGTAATCAAGAATACTTGTGTACAACTTCTTGTAGTAAAAAAAAAAAAAAATAGGGGGACTGTAATTCAGATTTTGGAATCCAGCAGCTTTACCAACTAAAGCAGCCATAAATCCAAAAATAACAAAATGAAATAGAATTTGGGAAGCTATTTAAGAACAATTTGAATTAAACAGCGTATTAGTGAGCGTTTGAATGAATCCATGTATTTTTATATTGCTACAGCTCTTGGTTGGATATAAACAGCAGGATAAAATAGGAAAGTAAAACTCCTGGAAATCACAATTACTGCTTTTTATAACAGCAATTGATATTTACAGTATTCCTTGCTCCAAGCTGAAATTGTGGCAGCTCTGGAACAACTCTCTGAAACCTGTTTACTACAAGACACATTCCAAGGTTTGTCCCCAGAGCCCAATAAATGTATCCCATATGGATGATCCTGATGTTTTAGCAAGGCACAAAGGGTTTTGTCCCTTTTCTCCCAACCCAATGGCATATTTTGCTTTCCTGTAATACTGCAAGTTCTGTGCAAAGGAGAAATAACTTATATATAAGTATCTATCTCTGTTATTATTTATTATTTCCACAGAAGGGCAGGAGGGTGTTAAGGGATTTTAGGTTCCTGGGCTTGCTGAGCTTCAATCACCACAAACAGGTTGATGAGAGAGTCTCCATAGAAATGGGATCCTGGTTACACATCAAAGACTGAAATTAGGGGAAAGAAACACAGGGAAGGACAAAGCAGAGTGAGAGGGAATTTCAATCTGCTGAACATCAGCTAGGCATCGTGTCAGGGGGTGCAGCAGGGTGATTGCAGCTAGGCAGTGATCAAAATAAATACATCATAGGATGCAATAAAATTAAGGTTGGAAAAGACCTCTGAGATCATCAAGTCCAGCCTTTGAGCAAATACCACCCTGCCCACTAAACCACATCACAGATCACCACTTCTGCTTGTTCTCTGAAGACTTCCAGGGAATGGTGACTCCACCACTTCCCTGGGCAGCCTGCTCCAACGTTTAACCACTCTTCCAGTGAAGACATTTTCCCTGATATCCAACCTGAATTTCTCCTGGCACAACTTGAGGCCACTTCCCCATGAACAGCCACCAGTTCCCTGGGAGAAGAGGTTGATCTCCATCTCACCCCATCTCACCACCACCACCACCAGCTCCTTTCAGGGAGCGTGGAGAGATCACTGCAGGCATTTTATGGGAAAATCAATTATTTTAATGGGTGAAAGTATTTAAAACTTACCTGAAGTATCAAGGTTTTCTCTTCCATGAGAACAAAAGGCTTTAGCACAGCTGTTGTTGAACAAACTGGCTTCAAGCACACGCTGTGGGTGCATCGACCACTGTGGGGAGAGGGGAACTGTGCAATGATTAATCAACTCGCCTTTATAAAACTTTATAAAAGCAGCATATTAAAAATGGAGGAGTGTATCACCAGTGCAGTGTTTCACTCGGATATTTTAATCAGGAAGCTTTGCACTGAGACAAACAGGGAGGTATTAGTGTGTCTTGCACCTCTGGCAGTGATTTCAGTCTGAGGAGGGAAGGTGTAAGACATCAAAGCCAGGGCTCCTGTGATGTTGGTAGCAGCAGCCCACACCTCATCTGACATGTGTAATTAGGATCTCAAGGTGCCAGGTGGTGAAGACTCGTAGCTACAGCCTTTGTAAGAGAGAACAAAGAGCTGGAGAGAAGCTTATATTTAGCCTTGATGTCCTTTTGGTTTTTAAAGCAAACAGAAGTGTTAAATACACCCCTATGAATAGATTGGGGGGAAAAAAGGGGCAGGCCAAGCAGAGCCAGCAACTCTACACCGAAGGACTGGAGGAGACAGACCAAGAGTTTCTTTGTGTGCTTTCATTTCTTCTTCCTCCCTCTCTCAGTGCTGATTAACCTCTTCCTACCTCCCAAAGCAGCCACTTTCCCACAGCAGAAAGTTTGGCTTCTCAGTGTACCAGCACTGCTCTGTCACCTGCCTTTCCCTCCCAGGGCCCAGCACCTTGGGATGCAGCTCCAAAAATTTGTTCCACGTTGCTCAGCCAGAGATGGTGCCTTAGAGGGGTTCCAGAGACACCAGGATCCCAAGCCTGCTTTTTTTCTCCAGTAGTTTTTATGTTGTACACCCAGTTTTATCCTAAGGTATAGGAATAAAACTTTACATGAGACTTGCCCAATTTGTTATCTTCCCAGAAAAAAAAAAATACTTTCCTGTCAGTATTAAAGGAGTGAGGTTCTGTAATTTCAAGCTGCAAGAAAGTAGAAATAGGAGGAAGGAAAACAAAATTGATGAAATAAGGAAGATGATAATTTAGGCTGAATAAGAGGAGAAACTTCTATCTCTGAACAGACAGATACAATAAACTTTGAAATAACTGATTGGTCAAAACACTAGAAATAAACTGCAGAGAACAACTCCTGCACTGACAGGAGATGAACTTATAACCAAGTAGCTTTTATCCATCTCCCACTTCTGATTGCGCCAATAGGAGGAGGAGAGGGTTTGGATATCAAAGGAAATTGCTTTAGGGAATTTAGTCTCACTGTCACCTCTTTTGCCCTCAGGGATGTTGTTATGAAATGAAAAAAACACCTCCTCGAGCTGCCATAATGGCAAAATGAAAGAGAAATTCCTGTTGGGAAGAAAATGTCTGTCAGATGTTTATGAGAGAGGGGGGGGGAGACAATAACATAAGAAAGTCAGATTTGAGCAGGCAGAAACGGCTCTGGTGTGACTGGGCCAGCAGGAACCTATGACAAGCAATCTATCTTTGTTTAAGGATTAATTGCCACCTTTCAGCAACACAGGATTTCCATCAGAGGGGAAGCTTGAAGAGAGATTTCTTGAAAGGCAGAATTATGCTTGTGATGTCCCAGTGGTTTCAGAAAGGTAATTGAGGCTCCTGGAAAGACAAGGAGCTTCTGTGAGTGCCACTGCACTGCCAGGAATAACCTTTTATGCATCACTAATCCATCTGTGGTGTTGTTATTAACACACAGGGGCATTTATTACCTACAGAATATCCAAAAAAAGGGGGCTTCCAAGAGCTTACCTTGGGAAAAAGGAGCTCACTTTGTCTGGAGAGGAAAAGCAGAGTTTTCCTATGTCTTAAACTAC